GCAGGAAACATGGTGACACATATGTTGATTTGAGATGTGGCGTGTCAGAGCACAGTGCCATTATGCACAGCCTGTGTTTACCTTCATTAAATAACCTGGAAGTGACATCAGACTGCTACAAGTCAACCACACACACCTCTACATGACTCAGTATTCTGATTTGTTGCTTATAGGGGATCATCATGTCATATTTTACAATATGATGCAACAATTTACAACATGAAATACATTAGAATTTGCATTGAATTGAGGTCTTATAAACTCTTTCAGCAAAATTTTTATTATGTCCATCATTTCGCAATTCAAATAAAAACCCATCATCTGCCTTTCTCTATAGATTTTAAGCTGCACGTCCTTGTCATGTTGCTCTGCACCTTCCAGACATTCCTCCTTTGTTAAACCGTTGTCTTCATGTTGTCTGTGATTGGCTCAGCTGTTTCAGAAACCAGTAATGAAACCAGTCATGTGACTATGACCTATACTGCTCTTCAATCAGCCATTTTGCACTCTGCTACTGCACATACATGAAGCAAAATAGAAGGTGGAGACATTCGTGAGACCAACTTTGAGCATGTTGTTGGGCTTGCGCAACTGATATTGGGCCATCTATCTTGTTAATTGACAAGTAATAAGCCAACTGATAAGGTGAGAGTGCTTTTAACACGTATTAACACCTTTTTTAATAAAATTTACTATTGACATTTTACTGATGATATTTGTATTGGCTGTTTTACCATATGCTTCAAGTTTCTAGGCCACGTCCGTAGAGTATCTTCTTTTTGTGTCCATAGAATTAATTCAACCTTCTAGTGAAAACCTAGTGTAATCTCACTTCAAGGAGGCAGACACACACTTCTCTGCGCTTCCATTAGAACAGTCACCCACCCAAAACCCCCGTCCACCTAAATTATTTAAAGAAATAAAAAAACAAGGAATTAAACATAAAAACCTAATACAAATTCAAACAAACTTCACAGTAGCACAAAATAAAAGAATGAAATGTGGACTGCTAAATATCAGGTCTCTGTCCTCTAAAGCTGTTCTAGTTAATGAATTATTATTAGATTATGATATTGATTTACTTTGTCTTACTGAGTCCTGGCTGTGCCATGAAGAATATGTTAGCCTAAATGAAGCGCAGCGGAGTAGAGTAGCAGCCATATGGTAAATGGACCTGTACTTGTATACCGCCTTTCTAGTCTTCCAACCACTCAAAGTGCTTTTACACTACGTGCCACATTCACCCTTTCACACACATTCACTCAGTGATGGCAAAGTCCATCGAACAGAAACTAACATTCATACACGGCATCGGGAGCAATGCGGGGTTCAGTATCTTGCTCAAGGATACTTCGACATGTGGCACCAGGAGCTGGGGATCGAACCCACAACCTTCCGATTAAGGAACGACCCGCTCTGCCTCTGAGCCACAGCCGCCCATATATAATTCAAGCCTTTTTAATTGATCCTAAACCTAAACTAATAAATTAATTTGAAAGCCTTGTTCTTAGTCTTTCTCACCCGACCTGGAAAACACTGTAGCCAGTTCTGTTAGTTACAGTCCTGTACTCTGATTTTCTATCTGAATTCTCAGAGTTAGACTGTATTAGCTTCTCTGCGCTGGCTCCCTGTAAAATTCAGAATATAATTTAAAATCATCTTCCTCACCTACAAAGCTCTTCATGGTCAGGCCCCTTCATATGGGTGGCTGTGGCGCAGAGGCAGAGCGGCTCGTCCCCTAATCGGAAGCTTGTTGGTTTGATCCCCGGCTCCTGGTGCCACATGTCGAAGTATCCTTGAGCAAGATACTGAACCCCAAATTGCTCCTGTGAATGTGTATGGTAAATGGACCTGTACTTGTATAGCGCCTTGTATGAATAAGTTAGTTTCTGTTTGATGGACTTTGCCATTGCTGAGTGATAAGTGTGTGAAAGGGTGAATGTAGCACATAGTGTAAAAGCGCTTTGAGTGGTCAGAAGACTAGAAAGGCGCTATACAAGTACAGGTCAATTTACCATTTACCAATACCGTACAAATATACACATTCACATTGCTAATCAAAATCAGAGCAGGGCTTGTTACTCAAAATACTGAGAAGGGTTTATTTATTACTTACTAAAGGGGCAGCTGTGGCTCAGAGGCACAACGAGTTGTCCACTAATCAGAAGGTTGTTCGATCCTGCCACATGTCGAGGCATCCTTGAGCACGATACTGAACTCCAAATTGTATGATGTGACATGTAGTGTAAAAGTGCTTTGAGTGGTCAGAAGACTAAAAAAGGCGCCATACAAGTACAGGTCCATTTACCACTTATTGTCACGGCCCACCAGCCGTGACCCTGGCTTCCTTCATGGTGTGTGTGAATGTAATTTTTGTATTCTTTTCTCCCCTTTGGTGTGCCTGCTGTGTGCTTGGTGTCCGTCTCTGTGTTTTGCTTTCCCCACATGTTCTGAAAGCCGCTGGTGGGCGTGCTTGCTGGAGCTCCTGCTTACTCACCTGTGGTTCATCACACCAATCAGCACACCGGGTCCTCGTCTACAATCTACCCACCCTTTATAAACCAGGCCGACCTTCCAGTCCCCGCCGGATTGTTGAATCATTTAGTATGAGCACACGCCAGCCAACCTGAACTTACTCGACTTTGAAATATCTCTTACTAACTTGTTGTTTTTTCCCTGTCACGTCTCAGACCATCTCACCCAGATCCTGGACCCAGTTCCCCCTGCCAGCACTGCAACATCCAGAGCACTGGAGCCGGAACCCATTCCCACTCTCTGTCACATCTGAATCTCGGTCACTTAAATCACTTTGTTTGTGCCTTTCAAATAAAACTCTTTATTTGAAACTTCACTCTAGTCTGCGCCTGAGTCCCGGTCACCATTCCTGACACTTATTACTCCCTGCCAACAGTAATTAGTCACAATACTAGTTATATTACTTTTCTGCTAGAGGACAAGAAATTGGTAATTGTGTATTTTCTCCCCAAAACTCAGACTTTATTTTAAAATCCAGTTTTGTTTGATATAATCAAAGAAATGGAATTTGAGCATTTATCTTCCAAACTAGTTTTCTCCACAATTATAAAAATTAATCTAAGGATGTGATTGGATTGTTGGCTTAACTGAAAAAGTATTACTGAAATGTATTAGTTAATAGTTACTTGTTACTGAGGAAATGCTTTATTTCCACACTGATCACAATTTCCACACAACACAATATAATTCTACTGTTAATAAAATAATAATAACTGACACAATATAGATAAGACAAACACAAAAAAAGACTGTCTCCATCTGAATTTATCATAACAGATAAATATAATTTCACATAGATGGAACCACACCAAAGAGTACTTATTAATTACTAAAGTGTTGTCTTAAGTAATGTTCTCTTAGCATTTAACTAACAAACATATAGAGCATATTATATGTGTACTATTTTGTTGTGTAATATGACTTGGAAGTGATTTCCATTCTAGCATTTGGTTCTGTCCAGTACGTTTTTGGTACAACTGTTTGCCTCAACAAAATTCTGGCCGATAACATGGAACATAAACACTTCACACTTAACACACACTTCATTGTCAAATCTTAATTAAACATGGTCCCATACCCATTTCTAACTGTAGGCTGCTCTGTCTGTCCAATTGCCATTTCCAAGATTGACTGACAGTTGCACTGCAAGACTACCCGCAATAGTTTTATTTAAGGTTTTTTTCTGTGCATGTCTTTTGAGCTCAGTCTATTTCAAATGAACTGAAAAATAAATACATGCCCTGACTTGTGACTAGCAAACTTACACTACTCTGTATTTTTACTGTACACTGAACTACATCCAGCAGCGTGCCTTGTTAAATAATTCTGTGCATCTGTACTTTGTATAACTAAAATAATAATGATAAAAATTGAGTGTTTGTTCTTATGACTTTCCTAATGAAAACCATCAATGAAAACATAATCTATTTTTCCCTCCAAAGAGAGTCATTCATGCATTAGAAACATTTGTTCTCAACCCACAAGAAAGAGATACACGTGCAGCTTTATTCTATGAAACTATGGTGGCCACAAAACTCACAACAAATGTGAACCTTCCAAATCTGGAGCCAGTGTTTGGTTTGTCTGTTCTGGACTACTGTAGAAACATGGTGGTTCAACATGGCAAACTCAATAGAGGGCGACCTGCTCCCTCTGTAGATAAAAAAAAGAAGCTAATTTTAAGGTAAGAAACATTTTATTCAGGTGATTATACACTAATGAAACCATACCTATGAATATCAAATTCAGTTTCTGCCAAAAGATCCTACTTAATGTTTCACACTGGACCTTTAACTCCTTGCATCAAGTATAAACCCAGCTTTAGTTTGGTTTCATCCAGTGGTAGTATCAAGAACTAAAGGTCTTCACAGATCCAAAATTCTGGACCCAATCTAAAACAGAACTTACAGTATGTAAAAGCAGTGGAAACTGACACAAAACCACGATTCAAGAACTGATTCTTGAAAAAAAGAAACTCTGGAAAGGGATCTGAGTCATTTAGATCCAACCTGAATAAACCTAAGAGTAATTCAAAATGGAGTTGAACAGACTTAATTTAATTTGTTTGTGCTTCACAGTTGGTCTCAAACAAACTTCTGTAATGATTATGACACATAACACGATCAGAGCTGATTGGATCCACTTGGGTATCGGACATATTGACACACATTTTGACTATCTGACCTGATTGGAATATAATTTGGATCCCAGGTCAGGTCTTGGGTACAATGAACTGTGAGGAGTTCTGATTGCAAACCCCCTTCCAGTTCAGGCCACTAGATAGAGTCAAACTAGCAGCATCAACCTCACATTGCTCCAGAGTGTGATTACACTGCCACATGACCTGGCATTGGTCAGAAAATGGACCTCAAAGACAAAACTCCACCAAATATCACTTTAACGTTATAGCTAATGCGACGAAAAACCACAGCATAAAATGCTGACATTGGACTGTAAAGACTCACCCCTCCTCCGTCCTCCTGTCTGTACTGTTTCCAGACCTGGCCTGTGTCACTGTAGAGCAGCAGGTATCTGCTGACCCAGTCTGAACTGATGGAGCACCCCTGCGTTGCCACAGCTGTCACCTTCATCTGGTCCCTGAGGTCCACCTGGAGCCAGGGATCCCGGTCTGTCACCATGGGAGACCAGCCTCCTGCTCCTTGGGAGAGCAGAAAAGAACATCATCCGTTCCATTAAACACACTATTTAAATGATGGACCGAGGATTGTTGTGGTCTTACTCACCCCTATGCCATTGGTTCAGTTTGCAAAAGTCAATGCTGTCCTGAGGCGTGCAGAGGGAATGTTAATGAACAGAAAACTTTCAGGTGACAATGGTCACCATAGTGAAGCTTCTCAGTTGCAAAAAGCTGGAAGATTTTAGAACATGCAATCTGAACTGTGTGCTATAGGTATAAGTGAGAAGGTAAAATAGTATCTGTGATAGATTTCGGAGTATGAGGGCTTGTCAGACACAAAAGCAGTGCACACTAGATGTTAGAATTAATATGAAGAAAGATTTTACAACTCTAGAAAACTACTTTTTTCCTTATCTTGACAATGTCAAGATATCGTCTTATCAGTATACGTGTGAAAGTACCTCTTGCATAATCAATGAGAAACTTATTACAAAGCTAAACAAAATCAGATAGCAACTCCTTTTACTTCTAGGTTGGTTTTCTAGTTTAATCAATTGGAAATACCATTTGTTGGTGTAGATACTGGCCAACCCTCCAGATTCTCCTGAGAGCCCCAATTTTGAATGCCCCCTTCCTCCCCTCCTCCTGTAATTTCGGCACAAAATTATTCCATACATTCCCTAGAATGCAGGTTCCATAATGCCCATATGTAGCCCAGCATAACCCTGGGTGGAGTATAGCCTAGTACACTGAACCAAATAGTTCTTGATTTGTTTCAACACTGAAAAGCAGTCTGCATTTCTGTATTATAGTAAGCTCTGCATTGAGAAAAACTGACACTGATAATAGACCCTTGTGAATGAAACCCTTTCAACTACTTATCCAGCAAGACAGACTGTGTCTTCAGTCCATTAAAAATTATTTTGTGTCCTACATGAATAATACACTTACTGCTGATTTATCTGCCTAGAAAGCAAGAAAGTGACTTCCATGTATGGTGAGTCTATCTCATTTATTTACACAACATGATGACATTTCTTGTAGTGATGCCATTTAAAAATTGGAATCTTCTTCACTCACGAGTCAGCTGCTCAGTGACTATGCCCAGTGAACATTTTTCTATCTATGGTCACTGGTGAAAAAACATGAAAAGTGAATTTTTTTTCATTGAATGTGAAGACGATGATTGAAGGCTCACATTTAGACCACCTTTTTGAAATAGTGGAATTTTACATCCAGTGTAAATATAAAAGCATGCGTCTTTTAGGAGTCAAACTAAGGTGTCCTGGGGTCCTACGCTTAACCCACTCAACCACATCATCCTCCTATTGAGAAGAACTTTTTCATTACTGCACATCTATACTAAATACTTTGACTTTCCAAGGCCTTTTTGCCAGAAAGCGCTTTCTGGTGTTGATTTGGGACAAGTGGCATATACAGTAATTACAGTAAGTGCTGTGTAGCATATAAAATGTTGTAAAAAACATATTTTACTCTACTTACCACCTCTTCTGTTGAGCTTGGCGTTGTGAGCAGCGAAACTGTTGGAGGACTGTGAAGAGCTCTGGAAGGATGATTGTGGTAATATGGACACCAAAGGACTGTTGCAGTTATCTATGAAAGAAAATGACAGCAACTATGAAACTGAAAGGGGAATTTAAGTGAATCTCAAACATCCAGCTGTAGGAACAAGAAGAAACACTGAAAAATGTCTGACAGCAGAAAATAATTTCTCAACATTTTTTATCGCAAATTTAGAGCAGTAGTGGGCAAATTGTGGCCCGTGTCCCCAGTCTGGCCCTTCAAATCTACTATCAGTTACATCTCTAGTTTCATAGGGCAACACAGAACAGACATCCACATATATAATTCATTCTGTTGCCAAATTAGTATTAACTTAAGCTGCTCTAACCCTGTCTTCAAAACAGAAAATGGTGATTTTATTAATTAAAAGTAATAAACAAACAAACCATATTAACAACATTTGAACATATACCATATCCTAATGCACTCTGTGAGTGCTCTCTGGATGAATTCTGTTTTATATATTGTTAGGGATGATCTTTCCCTGAAGTCAGCGAGGGCTGAGGAAGAATCTGTGTTTGTGGAGCTCTTTGGTGTCTTTGGTGGAACATTTTTTATAGTTGGTGTTATGTTATTTATCGCCCACCTGACTCTACTGTCCAAGATTTTAATGAAAAACTGTCCAGTTCTCTTGATTTGATAAACTAGGAGGATAAACTTTGTTATATTTTAGGAGACTTTAATATAAACCTCTTTAAAAATAATTTAGATACATGAACTACAGATTTTCTTAATATTCTTTATTCTAGTTACTTTTTCCCCACTTATTCAGAAATCTACAAGGGTAAAGGAAAATTCAGCAACTTTGAGAACATCTTAACTAACAACTTGAGAGAAGGAATGAAATCTGGGGTTTTGTATTTAGATTTGTCAGATTATTTTCCTATATTCCAGTACTCACTCTTTATCAAGCCTAATAAAACTAAACAAAATCAGAAAAAGATGTACAAAAGAATTATGAGCAAGTCAGACATTTCTAAATTTAAAGATATGCTTGCCAGTATCTCATGGAATGATCTATATAAAGAAAATAATGCTCATTCTGCATATCAACATTTTATGAAAGTCATTAGCTATAGTTTCAATGAATGTTTTCCAATAGGCAGTTCTACTAGGAAATGCAATCAGGACTTAAGTAGGCCTTGGTTTACAGTTGACTTGCTGAAGCTGCTGAGGAAAAAGAATAAATTGTACAGAAAGTATGTCTCAAATCCATGATGACATTTCTGCATCCCTAGTTAAACAGGTCAAGCAGTCAATTTTGCAGCCACTAGGTTACATTATTTCTCTGTCAATGGCAACAGGCATTGTACCAGAGGATTTCAAAGTTGCCAAAGTTATTCCTCTATTTAAAGCGGATGATCCGTGTTGTTTTAATAATTATAGACCCAAATCTATTTTGCCATGTTTTTCAAAAATATCAGAAAAAAATCATATAAAAAAGGATCCTTTCTTATGTAGATTCTAATTCAATTCTTTGCAAACATCAGTATGGTTTTCAGAAAAATCACACCACTGTCACGACTGAACTATGGACCAGAACCCAAATGCACAACTCTCAGACGAAAGTTTCAAAATAAGGTTTATTAACTAAACAAAAAAATCACTCCAACGAGGTAATACTAAGACTAAGAAAACAAACACAAAATCACTCATTAACAAAACAACAAGACCTGACCATGGCAGTGGTATGGATAAAGCACTGGTTCTCTGACACATGGGACAAGACGAACTGGCACAGGACAAAGGGAGACACGGACTATATATACACACGGTAAGGGCACAGGTGGAAACAATCAGGGCGGAGACAGGTAATCCCAAGAGCGGGAAAACAGACAAAAGGGAGAAAGTAAAACTGTTGACAAGAGACAGACAGGAAGTGGAACCAAAATAAAACAGGAAATTACAAGACAACATAGACACGAGACAAAACTGAATGAATTAACTTAACAAAGTTTTCTGGACATGACAGCCACTTATATGCCTTTGCTTCATTTGATTGACAAAGTTACCTCTGCATTAGAAAATAATGAATTTATTTGTAGTATATTCATCGATTTCTCAAAAGCTTTTGATACAGTTAACCACCATATTTTACTGAAAAAACTGCATAAATATGGTTTTCATGATGTTATGTTTGAATGGTTAAAAAACTATGTCTCAAATAGAAGACAGTTTGTTTGTATTAATGGATGCTATTCCAACAAAGCTACACTACTTGCGATCCATTCTTGGACCATTATTATTTCTTATTTATATTAATGATTTATCAAATGTCTCAAATATTCTTTCTCCAATAATGTTTGCGCTACAACTCTGGTTTATTCTCACTCAAATTTCAATTCTCTGATTAAAAATTTTAATGTTGATTTAACTAGATATGCTACATGGTTCAGTTTAAATAAGTTATTTCTGAATATAAAAAAATCTAACTATATAATATTTTGTGGCAAAAAATCATACTCTAAGGATTTTTGTAAAGTTATAATTCAGTCTGTTGAGTTGCCTCAAGTCTCAACAACAAGATTCCTGGGAATCTTTGTTGATGAGAGTTTGAATTGGAAAGGACAAATACACTGGGTTTGCAAAAAAATAAATAAATCTATCGGTATAATTAGGAGGCTTAGTAATCTTGTCACCACAAACTGCCTCCTACACTTTATTACAGTTTAATTTATCCAAATCTTTCATATTGTAATATAGTTTGGGCAAGCACCTTTCCTACTTTACTTCATAGAATTTTGGTTCTTCAGAAACGTTTTGTTAGGATGGCAACCCGATCTGAGTCACATGTCTCATCTCTACCTCTTTTTCAGAAACTCCAGATACTTACTGGTCATGACATCAATATCTCTCAAATATGTGTTCTTATTTATAAGGTATATTCAGATCATGAAAACTTTCCAGAGCACTTTAAGACTTATTTTAAATTAAATTCTCAGGTTCACTCTTATCCAACGCAACAATCTTTAGATCTTCATCCCCCAAGATTTTTTACGTGCAGAGGTCAATTTACTATTAAATTTAGAGGTACCAAGTTATGGAATACCTTTTCCCATCTGGCAAAAAACTCCATCTCTATAAAATGTTTCAAGAGATGTCTAATAGCCCATTTAACTGCTGCCTTAAAATTCTAATTCACACACAAACACACTTTTATATCATGTTTATATTTTTGTTTTTATATTGTTATTTTGTTGTCATTATAATTTGTTGTTGATGTTATATATTCTTTTTCTCTATTATCAGTTAGTTATTACTTTATGTAGTTATAATATTCTCTGTATGTCAATTTTCTGTTCCTTATAACTTTTAGGTGGAGGCTTTAAATAAGCCCATCTGGGTTTTCTGCCTCTCCCTGCACTTTACACTATTTGTTATCTTTGTTGTTTTTAATGTAATTCTAATCTGTGCAAAAATAAATAAATAAAAATAAAAATAAAATATACATCTTATCTTTATTTATTTCAGATCCTGTATAATTAAACATTCATAACATTACTCATTGAAGAACTAGTTCAACATTTTGAGAAAAATACACAGACCAACATTCTAAAGCTCACCAATTTAGATGAATTACATGTTACATGTTGTGCTACTTTTTGTTCAACAACAGTGTTGCTGCATCTCCAGCTAGTAGTGCAGGTTGTCAAACACGATCAGGGAGCCCGGGGTTTGGATCAGCTACAATGGTAGCAAACCTAGAGACCTGTGAAACAGCATAGGGACTTGTTGTTTTTTGGGCTTTTAATGCATGTTATCGAAAGTGACAGCCGAAAGGAGACAGGAATGTGGAGAGAGAGCGCGCTCTACCAGGTGAGGTGAACTTCACTACTACTTCTCACAATAAAGTTGGTCTTTATGCTATGAGTGTTGCTGGTGTTCTGACCTCTTTAACCTCACTGTGACAAGACTTTTTGAAGCTGCACACAGTCACTACACCAGCTGTTGTTCTACAAGAAACTCCCTCTAAGACTGTTGTTTTTACATTTCTGTTTGTGTTTGGATAAACCAAACAAGATTAAACATGTTACAGTGAGCTTTGGAGGTGTCAGTAGGTGTATTTTGTTAAATTTAGTCAGAGCTAGGTTGGTTGTTTTTCCCCTGCATCCAATCTTTATGCTTAACTAAGATAACCCCTACCAACTCCAGCTCTGACAAGGAACTTTCATTCTGTGTTGATTCTGACGACCCCTGTGGATAAAAGTGGTAGTGTTTCAACTGCCTTGTTTCATTGATTTCAAGGAGAACCTGACCGAATCTGACCAGATTTTACACAGTGGCAGGCATTGATTATATAGAAATGTATATAGAAATAGCCAGTCTTCTTGCTGATGCTCGTTTGTTAATGTAGGTCATGGAAATGCATCAGTATTGAATTAAGGCTGTTTAATAACCAGTTAAAAACTCATTGTAATACGTTTAAGTTATTGAGTTTTTTTTTTTAAAGAACAACCTCTATGTGTTCATACTTCTTCAGAAAAATGTGTCTTGAAACAGAACAGAATGAGTCAGTCAAGTAAATAAAGTGTTCAGTGGTCTGAAGTAGTTCAATTGCATTTTTATTTATTCTGCTGAAAATGAAAGAAATAGAAAATGCACCCTTGAGGAGTTCAAGTTGTTGGCGGAAAGTAAATCATCAGCCTTTCAGATATATTTTAAGGCAAGAGTAGTGAAAAAAAATAAATAAACAGGGCTGGCTCACTTAACCAGCCCTCCAATCTCTCTCCAACAGTCCATTAACTTGTGCAGTGACCCCTGAAAACTGGACAGAGGAGGCTGTAGTCCCTTGTAGGTGTGTATGTGTGTATGTGTTCTGTTTAATCCAGTAGTGTGAGATTAGAGCACTTCCAACATGCAGGGGCAGATTAACGCCGAATGTACACGGCATAGTGCTGTGCCGCATACTGACTACACTCCAGTCTGTCGCAGTTTCAGTGTCCACTGGACATGTTTCAGAAGCAGAGCATCTGTTCTTACGCAGCTGCATTTATAATAGTTTGGAGTTGTTTTGCTGAAATTTCTTTTTG